GGGTTGTTTAACTACTGAGCCACATCCTCAGTCCTTTTTTGTTGTCTTTATTTTTATTTTTTTATAGTTATAAATGGACAGAATGCCTTTATTTGTTTATTTTTATGTAGTGCTGGGCAAGCGCTCTGCCACTGAGCTACAGCCCCAGCCCCCTTTTTGGTTTTTGAGACAGGGTCTCACAGCAACTTAGTGACTGACCTTGAACTTATGATTCTCCTACATCAGCTTCCTGAGCCACTGGATTAAAGGTGTGCTTCACCAGGCCTGGCTAAAAATGCCTACTTGAAGTCATGTTTTTGTATGGAATAGCTTTTAAAAGTTAGGTTTTTTTTTATATATCTTGGATTTTGTAAAAAACAATGGAAGAAAAAGCCATATAGACAACACATCCAGAGTTTCCACATGTTACCAGTTAAAAGCATGTCTAATGCATTATTCAATGTCGCTCAGAAAAGGATGTATGAAACATTCCTCCTAGTATTCGGAGCATAGGAACAGGAAGCTTCTCGTGGTAATCCCTATTTCCTTTCACATGCTCACATAAAATTATGTAAACCATGCTATTTCTCCATTCTTCTGTAGAACCTGAATTCACCAATTGGTAAAATTATCTTCCCTTTTCAAAACACAGTACTGCATTTTACACAACTTTTATTTTCATGGTCTATTACATGTAATTATTTAATACAAGCTGCCCAAAATCCGATTTGGAAGTTGACAATGTATAACAGACATGTAAATTAACATCATTCATCCTACAGAAGAAATGGATTTCTCAATTTTATTTGAACACAGCCCAAATGAAAAAGATAAAGGAATTAAAAAGACATTGAATTTAACTGCCATATACACTAATAGAACGCAATTATTGGCCTCTCTTTGGTCTTGGATCAAAATCCTCATATACTAATGACTAAAGGTGATGAGTCAAATGGGGCGTGGCGCGAACCATACAATCCAACAATCTGCAGCTTCACCATGGAAAACCAGATACTGCTCATGTCCTTCCTTATCTAAAAGGATAATCAATGTTTCCAGCTCCATTTTGTAATTCATCTTGTATTCCATGGACAGCATTCTTCTCAAGTCTTGAAAGAGAATTCTGTCTTAATTCCAACATTAATAGTGAAATCCCTGGGCATCTGGATACTTTCTTCCTATTCTGAACATTTCATCTTAATTTACATGACCATCCCATAATTGGTTTATGCCAGCTATCTTGCAGAGGATTTTCAGATTACCAGAGAGCAAAAAGCAGCAGCACACAAATGAGCTCTAGAGTCGCACAGGATAGCTATAAAAACAACTCATTCATCATCTCTCCATTTTGATTCCAGAGACAGCAGTGAAAGGTGGCGTTTCCACACCACTCGCCCAGCACACTTGAGAAGCTTGCTCCGCCACCTCCACAACTGAAACTGACTGATTAGCTGCTGGAGAAAAATCAATACAAATATCCTAGAAAACACCAGCTTGCAAATTCATTCCGGCCCTAACAAAGTCCTGGTCACCATTTGACATGTTTTTCCAGCTATCTGAAATGCAGCCAGGTCACACCCTGCAGCCTTAGGCCCCAGAACACGGTTAAGGCCAGGCATGTTTTAAACCAGCATCAGAAGAGGGGAGGCAGTGAGGAGGTCGGTCAGGAGGGCAGAGGATCACTCCCAGTGGGACTAAGATGACATCCAGAGAGTGACCTGGATTTTGCATTTTGCACTCAGATGCAGGTCGGGCCACAAAAATTAAAACCACACTACGAGGAAAAAAGTAGTTGTTGAAATTCCAAGGGGGAGTTATATCAGATACATTCTACCATCTTTCTATCCTAAAATATGAATGTACCCCAGTGAAACTCCGCATCGTGAAAAACCACAGGAACAGAATCTAATTAGAATAAATTATACTCCGTGTATGTGTAATATGTCAAACTTAAAAAACACACACACATATATATGTATATGAGAGAAACTAAGGTTTCTTTTTAGAAATTTGTTTCACTTTGATGCTATCCATTCAACTTTATTGAACTCTTTCTCATTTTCGGCAGCTGGATGCATGATTGGCATGATCTTAGTTCTCTTGGAAGCCCTTTCACATTCAGGGCAATTTTGTGATTGTTTCCCTCTCTACTGAATGCTCACGTGCCTTGGTGAGCATTATACTACAAAATAAATTTTAATAAAAACTTTTTATAAATATGCTTCTCTATAGGAAATTGTGATTTTATTGCACATTCTATGATGTCAGAAGACCCGAGTTCCAATCCATATTCCACACACTTTCATAGCTTTAAAAAAGACCAATGTGTGCAGCAGACATAGTAGCAATTTGAAAAGTTTAGAAAAGAAAATGCCACCATAAGGATAGGAACTCGAACTACTACTGACAGTGTGGGGCCTGAAACAGTCCTAAAATTTGCTGATGACATATTTAGACTTTTCATTTCTGAGCAACTTTCACAGAGTCATGCTGTGAACTCATTATAGGCAGGCAAGCTAGTCATGGTAGAACACAGAATGCAAGGGGTTTTTACCATTAACACCTGAATTATTAAAGAACTAAATATAGAAAAAACAAAAACAAGAAAATGCGTTATTTCTCATATTTACTTTTATAATTATGCTGAACAATTTTAAAGCTCAAACAGGAATTTTTATAAGATTATTAAAATCCCAATGTCTATGAAGGGGAAAAAAAAAAGATAACTCTTCCAGACTGGGGCTGTAGCTCCATGGAAGGACACGAGCAATGTCCCGGGACTGACCAGCCACGGAAGGAAGGAAGGAAGGAAGGAAGGAAGGAAGGAAGGGAGGGAGGGAGGGAGGGAGGGAGGGAGGGAGGGAGGATAATGCTAGCAACTCGGTATCTTTAAAATGTGAGCTAATAGACTGATGTTTCCTACAGTGGTAAGGGATAAGCCCATCCTTATCATGAACTTGCGCTTCCCAAATTTAGAAAATGAAGGGTAACTGTCATACTACCTAGTTTATATACAGAGAAGTTTTCATTCAACATATTTTAGAAGTAACAGAGAAAGCTGTCATTTTATGATCATCACTAATGTCATTCTTAGGGTATTTCAATAGGCTCATGTGTAGTACAACACACAACTGCTAACCTCTGGCAAGTTCTTTGAATCACTCGCCTTAACTGGCCCAACTCATTTGAACTCGAAAACCTTAACTCATAACTGACATCTCCTGAAGAAACACAGTATACCTCTGTTGCCCAGAGGACAGTGCTAAAGAAACAGAGGGTTACACTGGATGTCTTTAGAAGAATTCTCCAACTGGGTCAAAGCAATTATGTTTCCTTTTTTCGCCCCCATCATATATATAAAACATAACTGTGTCCACAAAAAGTCAGGAAGCCATCATATCAAATGTTAGCTTCAGTTGCAAGTAAGGATAGATACCAGGAAATGAAGAAAATAGTTTCTCTCCCTAGACCACCACTGTACAGGTTATATTTTTCTTTGTGTGTGTGTTCTAACAAAACTTTACTTGTGAACACTGAATTTGAATCATGATTTTCACAACTCACGGTGTGTTTTTTTCTGGAATTTTTTCCTTTTTTCCCCTTTTTAGTGGTATGTTACAGTTCTACATAGTGGTGGGATTTGTTGTTCCATATTCTTACATATATACAATATAACAATTTGGCCAATCAGGTTTATCAATTGAATTTTCAAGTACAATAAAGTAGAAAGTTTCTAAAAATTATATGTGGTTGCACTTGAAAACACACAATGTTGAAAAAGTACTAATTTGTATGCCTTCTAATTTGCAGTAGTTAGTAGATAAATCACCTATGTTTAATATCCTCATAAACTGACAGATATATGGAATAATAAGCAGTAGATAAGAACATTGGCAAAAACACCAGATGCATAAATTAGGTTTCTAGGTGAATTCTTGCCCCTTCTGAAAAAATCCTTCAAGTCTTCATGTTGCAGAGAAGACACTCATCCCGGCCTTCCTCTGACTGGCAATGAGACTCACTGTGTCTCCTGTTTCTATTCAAAATAAGCTCAGTATGAACACTCAAGGTAAGAATAAGGATATAAAAATCAGAAAAAAAAAATGTAGGGAGGAGTCAATAAATCAACGAAGGGTCTATTTCTCTCTACTAAAAGAAACATTCAAATTAGTGTTGATAAAAGCTTTGGCTAGACTAGACTTTATAGAAAAGGGGTTGGAACGCACAATTTCTGAGATACAGGGTATGAGGTACTGAAAGCAGCCCTCCAAGCCACTTGCTTAAAGGAAAAGCACATTGCCAATAACTATTACCCCACAAGATTATAAGACAATAGATTAGCTGATGTAGGATGACAAGACACACCACTGTTCCACACACACACATTATAAACAAGGACAGAAGAGGAAGTTCATGTCTAAGCAGTTATGTGTCAATACCACAGTTACTCATGTTAAAGATAAGTCTCCCTCCACGCTCAGAGATACCAGCCAATCACACTTGCCAGCAAGGGACAACTCAAGAGCACTCTGTCCCTCAGATCTGCCCGTCAGGACCGTTCTTCCCTGAACCAACAGTCCCACAGAGAAGAACAGTGGACTCCTCTATCCCTGGATGGGCAACCTCTGTTTTCCTTCAGAGACTCCTGGACACCCTACTAGTTCTGTTTTCTAAATTGTCAAGAAAATCACCAAAAAAAAAAAAAAAAAAAAAAAAAGGAAATCCGAGTATTCCTCTCAGATCTCAGAAGCTGAAGGATTTAACTTTTTTTTTTTTTTCTTTTCCATGGAGACTAGAGATGGGGTGTAAAGGCTCTTTTTACCGTGAAGCAAAAAGAAAACAGTAAAGCAGAAAAATATAAGATTTAACCTAAGTGGTTAAATCTAATAACATCTATTACTTAAGCCGCAGTATTTGTCAACTTCAGAAAGCTGAAGCAGCAGATATCTAAAGTGAATAATACTTAAAATACTGTTTCAAATAAGAAGACTAATGTCACGCACAATTCTAGAAACACTTACCTTGAAAAGACTGTTTGGCTCTATCTACTAGTTCATCAATGGGATAACTGGCCAAATTTCCTCTGGCGTGTTTAGTTTTGCAGTAGGTACATGCATTGAGACACCTGTTCAAATGATAGCAACAGATAAGACTCAAAGTTTTAAAAACAATGTGTACATAACATGAAGAGGGACAAACTAGTCCTACTTTAATAACATTCACTTACTTTATAGGACAGACATAAACAACGAATATCTGAATGTCTCGAGTTTATTTTATTCCCACCAGGTGAAGCAAGTTGCAATTTGTCTTAGTTTAATGGTTTTTACAGACCCTAGTATTATCTTAAAATACAAATATCCATGAGAAACAAAGTTCATTAAAATATTACAATTATAAGTCAAAAGAAATTCAACACACTTTTTTGTAAGCCCCTGATATTTCTTCAGAACAAATAAGTAGAATATTTTAGTATTTCTTATACATACTTTTTTATTAGACATTGTTATTAGGTGTCCACAAAATATATAATATATATTATACATATATTAATATATTATATGCATTGGTATATTATAAACATATTAGGTGTCCAATAAAGCAAGAAATTCAAGAAAGTTTAGAGGTAAAAAGACTGGGTTATGAGAGTCTTAGCCTAATCAGTGCACTAATCCTCTGATAGGGATTAACTGGGTGGTAACTACTGGCAGGTGGGTGTGGTTGGAGGAGACAGACAGGTCACCTGGAGTGTGCCTTTGAGGTTTATAACTTGTCCCTGGTGCAGGCAGCTCTCTCTCTGCTTCCTGATTGTCATGTGCTGACCAATTTGCCTCCTCCACACCCTACTGCCAAGATGTGCTGGCTTGTCCTGGGTCCAGAGGAATGGAGTGGACCATCTATGGATTGGACCTCTGAAACCATGAGCCAAATAAAATTTCCCTCCTCTAAAGCTGTTCTTGTTAGTCTTTTGTTCACAGTGGCAAAAACAGCGACAAAGATAGAAATGATAAAGCAAATTCATGTAGCTTTTAAGTAATGAGATATATACATAAGTACGTATATATAAAATACACATACATTTGTTATATAGATTATGCAATTTATGTGTATTTACATAATATTATATATATATGAACAGGCAACATAGCATTCTCTAAAGAAAATATGCCATTAGAAAATTTTCATTCCTTGAAATAAAAACAAAGTATTAAAACACATTCAGTGATCATTCTCTGGAATTATATTAGTCAAAGTAAAGAAGTGGAGGGCTTGGGGCAGCCCCGTGGTACAGTGCTTGCCCAGCACACGCGAGTCCCTGGGTTTCGTCCCCAGCACCGCACCAACACACATTCACCCCCCAACACACACAATGAAATAGAATGATAATATTACTTTTAGAAATTTAAAAATAGGCATTTCCCAGGAGTTTTTAGACATGATTTAAAAGATTGTCTTTCTGTTGACAATGTTGATTCTACATTTATAACTCTAAAAGTAAATTTCTTATTTCAAAATAAACAGTGACAACATAAAAAAAATTGTCCTATGTCAAAAAGATGAAGCTCAACAACACTGAACAAAAAGGAACATCTTTTTGATGATTCAATTTTCATAAGGAGCAATAAAGTTTTTTAAAGACCATCATTATACACACTTTGAGTTTACTATCAAGAAAAACTGGAGTTTTAATAATTGAACCTGAACAACATGTGGTTTTACGGATACATAACCATAAAATACATAGGAATCCCTGTCCTCAGAAACAGACAAGGCCTAATCTCTGGAAACCTTTGCATGGACCTTGTAAGGAAGGTGACACTTACACTTCAAAACATGTCTTCCTGTTGAACCTCCACCCCACCTTACATTCCCAGCACCCCCTCCCTCCTCAGCAGTTCACATTTAGTAAACATAAACAGTGGCCATCTGGCAGGAGGATCTAACCCTAACTGCCGCAGGTCTTCTCCATCTCATCTCTGGCCTTTCCCTGGTCTGGAAGACACTGCCGCCTCTGTGGTCATTTCTCTTTAGCCCCTGTCCCAGACACTGTTGGAGACACTGACATACAGACACTACCTCCTGCAGCCCCTCCAGAGGCCACTGCTACCATCTCACAGTCAAGAGCCCACTCAAGGCCACCCAACAGCTGAGATTCAAATCCAGGCCGGCCACATATTAGATGCCACACAGTTCCTGTAATGAAGCCATGACAGAACCCAGAATAAGTGTATGTCCACTACCCTAGAGCTGGGGGTGTGGTTCAGCAGGAGACCATGTGCTCAGCAAGTGCCAGGCCCTGGGTTCAATCACCAGCACCAAAAAAATTCCAAAACCAACAAGAGCAACAACAAATCCTAGATACATACAAATGCAAAAATTCAAAAGATAAGGCAATTGCCCAGCAGGAGGCAAGATGGCAGACTGCTCACACCCTCCAGGGTATGAGGTTCTGATCCTTCCAGGGTGAAGCTATTTATTTAACACAGGTGTGCCTCTCTCCTAAAGCCAGACCTCTTATCTATTCACCAGCTGAACTGGTCACTTCCACCCTAGCTGATCTCATCCAATGACTATTCCCCATCCTCTTGCTGGATCTGCAGCAAAACATGTCTCCTCATCCAACTTGCCATGTTGTCTGGAGCAGCCCTGAGCTGGCACACAGAAGACCCTCCTCAGTGTCGGAGGTCAGCCGCTCAGTGCAGGGGCACCTCCTGGGCTGTGGCCTCTCCACCTCCCAACACCACCTCAGAACTCCTGATCCCTTTCTTCACGTGTCCCTTTATCAGTGAAGAGCTCCATAAACTAAGTGGACCGTCTTCACAGCAGCTGCTCTTGTTTCTGACTTCTGTTTTTCTTAAAATGTTCTGTCCCATGGGATGCCAGTGGCAGGAAGGGAATGACGGCAGAAGGAAAGCAGGAAGAGAAGGGGAACATGTTTGAACATTTATAACAAAAACTGATAAACGTAAAGCACTTAGAAGAGTCCCTGCCCCTAGTAGGTGGTCTGTAGGTGTTGGCCACTCATTGTCCAATGTGACTGCTCTAAGCAATGCTGTGAGGAGACAATCACACATGGCAATCACACGTGATGTTCCCAACTTTGTGGAACAGATGTGCTGCTGATAGCCTGGCTTAAAAGTCAACTGTGGAAACCAAGTCATATTTTCCTACTGTCTCATTTAATAAAGGTAGAAAGATATTCTCATGGAATCACTCATTAAAATGTACTAAAAAGTTTAAATAAAACAAGCCGATAGTTTAAAACATCACATTCAAAATAACTCAGGAAGTGTAAATATTACAATGAGAATTCAAAATATTCTTCATTAAACTATTTCCCAGGGGTTAAAGTTGTTGACATGGTAGTTTTGGAGTCTCTACTCTTTATCATATAACAGGAATTCATTCTTATCCGTGATAGTCAAAATCATGTTTTGAATTTTTAATATACTTTTATAGTGTTTATTCCGTCATATTAAAGTGAAGGTTTCTAAAGTGGACATTTCTTTAAGCATGTCATAACAGGAAAAGCTCAAGCATTAAATCTGCTAAGTCTTCCTTTTAAAAAGGGACAGAGCTTTATTATAATGCACAGGAAAAACACACGGTGCCAAATCAGAAAAGAAAGAATGAGCTTTTTGATGCTCAAAAACAATTTTTCAAAAACCAGGATTTGTGTTGACCCATCGTTTCAACATGTCAAGCTTCCCTTAAAAATAAAGAACTTCATAAATGAAACTATCTACTAAGGGTTCCTATTATCAGCAAACAATTAAATAATTGTCTAAGAGTCAAAACACTGAGCCAGTTTCTTCAACTTTCAGAAAACAAAAGATCTTTCAAGGTTGACTGTTGAAAGCCAAAACCAAAACGAGAGGGCTGTTGAACTACAAGAAGATGCAGAGTCCTAGCAGACGCCCCTGGGACCCCAGGATCAATCGGGCACAAGCCTCCCAACCTTGCTGTGAGGCCACCAGCCAGGAAGTAAGGAGTCCTAGAAGTAGTATAACCCTGAGGTCTTAAAAACACATTTGTGGAAGAATATTTTTAAATTACATATAACAATAAATTCACAAATTATAATGTTCCCAGGGATTTTAAACATGTTATACATCAATTTAATACACAAGTACATAAAGCAAATAAAAACTAAGCTTTTACATATTTAGTTTTTTGTTTTTTAAAGTGCATCTTCAGATATCACAAGTCTGGAATAATTTTTTAAAAACCAGAATTACGCTCTTAAAAAAAAAAAAAAAAAAAAGTAACCCTTATTGGTTTTTTTTGTTTTGTTTTTTTTTTGTTTTTTTTTTTTAAATGAAGGAGGGTGGCTGATATGACTCAGGCTTCTGTTTCTCCCCTACTGCAAGTCAAGGATGTATCTGAATGTGTAAAAATTATTTGATTTCAAGCATTAATACTTAAAACCGGCATATTCTTTTCACTTTTAATCAACCGACAGAATATAAAGTCTTTCTCAAAGCTTCAAATGTTACAAAACAATAAGTCCTCAGTAAGCTAAATCTTGCAAAAACCATACTGTAATCTGGCCACATTCTCCATATTGAGGCGTCATCCAGCAAAGGAAAAACTGAAACCCAAGACACAAAGAGTTCACACAACCCAGGCTGCGCCAGGCTACACCGTTAAATATAGCCTATTGTTGAGTCCTCAACTTGGTTTTAAGTTCTTCCAGGAAAAGTCCAAACTTTTTGACCTTTCAAACAAATGCAAGAGACACTCACATCAGCAGAACATGATTAGATCTTCAAGTGATAGTTCATTGAAACCTTTTCACCAAGATCAAAATCCTGAACAAAGGAGGACAGTGCACTTGGTGAGCCAGCAGAATACAGCTCCAAGCCCTCAACTCCTCAGGGACTGTTGCCAGGAACCCCTCCCTGTCAGGCTCAGGCTTCTCTCCCCACGCCACAGTCTTATCTTCATAACTGAATTTTATCTTTAATTGTGCCATTTCTGGAGTTTTTTTTTCCTGCACTAGAATATTTGTAATATACTCTGGTTTGTCCTTAGATCCTCTTTTACTAGAATATCTATGCGAAATAAAACTTCATTTGCATTGGAATTTCTCTTTGTTTCTTCCTACTTGGTATATTTTTTGCT